TTACTGAAGGACCCATCTTCATGCTAATGATGGAAGGCCTTTAAAGAATTCATCATATGAATCTCCCTATCACATGCACTCATATTTTAGGAGGGAACAAAAGTTACGCCCTAGTTTAATTTAGGTCAAACCAAAGTGGCTCCCACTGACTTTCATAAAGCTAGATTTTGATGGGCCCTAAACGGCTAGAATTCCGCACGATTCCTCTTGGGGAGGTGTGGGGCCCACCACTAAGGGAGGATCATCCAATGATCTATAGGGACACTATGGCAATGATGTGCATTCAGCCATGGTGTGCGCAAGAGCCACTATCGTATCAGCATGGGCCAAGCACTTATGGCCCATGAACATTGCACATCACACATCCATACATAACATGCAGGGAGAAAATTGATCCAATCAATTAATATCTGTAAAACCCATTATTAAAGCCCATAATAATTTATAATATTACTGATTAATATTATCTAGGTATATGGGCTGAATAGCAAAGAGCAGTTTGGCCCATATAGCTTTTATGCAGTTAATGGGCTTAAGCAGTTTTAACACATTAAAACTGGGCTTTACAAGTGTGGGCCGAATTAGATCTTGCAATTAACTATCAATCCCTTGACCCAAGAGTGAAAAAATAGGGCTGAGAACAGCCCCCATCGAACCATAGATTCGGTCCAACTAGTTTGGTCCAATCTGGTTCGAATGGGTCTAGGGTTTGATTTTTAATTCAAGAATGTATTCAATAATTGATCTGAAATTAAATTACTGATAAAAGACATTCAAGAATCAGTACTAGGGCTGTTCATAGATCTGCTACCCTGCAAAACAAAGGTTAGTTCACAGCTTGCAGTTTCTTAAACTGCAAATCGTAGATGGGCGAACCCTAATCTGCGAAAATCCTTCCTTCTATGCAATCAACTTTGATCTTGATTGAAATAAAATAGAAAAACCCTAGTTTTCTATTAATATTACATCAAATCGAATTCATATACATTCAGTCTAAAAATTAAAAAAAAAATTAATTACAGACCAAAATGTAAAAAAACTGGAAAGCGCAGATCTCTTGCGCCATTAAAGAATCCGATCTCTACTGTCTGAACAGCCCATAAATCAAGAAAAATATAAAAAACCATTCTAAATATAATTCAGATTTATAAAGATTTAATTGCAGATCAATAGCCCTTAATCTAGGAACCGATTTCTCAGAAAATCTTTTATCTGCGCAAATCGGGTAGAACGCCTTCTACCCATTTGCGCAGTTTCAGATTTGTCAATTTTGGTTCAAGATTTTAACTTGGCTCTGATACCATTGAAGGGATGAGAGATCTATCATATGGATGGCCGAACCCTACAGGTAGGTTGGGCGAAATTTCAAAAATTTCTCTCTCCTATGTGGGAATCACATTCCCTATTTTAGAAAACTGCATTTTCAAAAATCAATCTTGAACCCTAAACCAGACTAGATCTGAAATCAAAAGGTAAGAGAAGGATATACCTGATACAGAGTAGTAGTAACTCCCAATGAAGGTGTTCACACTCAAGGAGATCTCCGAAGACTGCTCCCACTGAAGATAACACAGTGTAGGGTGGAGCAGAATCAGTAGTAGGGTGGTCCTTCAGCAAGAACCTGATTCTTCACTAAGAATCTGATGGAGGGCGAGTGAGCACGACTTCAGATCACTTTTTCTCCAAAACCTGATATCAAGAACCTTGCTTGATCGCTCCTACAGGTGGAGATCGAACTGGCATTGGCGGTAGTAATAGGAGAAGGCAAGAGCAAAAGATGGCGTCAGTCCAACTGTAGTTGTCCTCTCTCTTGTATCAGTAATATGATTGGGTGAATTGGGGTTCGCCCTTCTCCTCTATGTATAGCCTTATAGAGAAGTTCTCCTAATCCCATTAGAAGTTTCCTAATCCAAATCTTGTATTTGGATCTGGACTCTCTTTAAGAGATAAAGATAATCCCTTATCTTATCTGCAGATAAAGATCAGCCCTCCTAATYTYAKTAGGAGTTTCCTAATCCAAATCTTTATTTGGATCTGGACTCTCTGAGTGGATAGGGATAACTCCTTATCCTATCTACTGATCTAAATCCCAAAACCCCCATTCTTTAATTAATCATATTA